CAGCAAAAGGAAAAGGGTTCGAGGGGAATCTAAAGGCAGTGGTACCTGGATTCATCGCATGGGCCTTATGGAAGAACCACAACTCAGCTCTCTATGAAGGTACTCAAAACAATGCCCATCACCTACTCAAAACCATCCACTCCCTAATCCAAAAATGGTGCTGGATAAATCGGAAGAAAAAATGGCTGATCAAAGGTCCAAACCAGAATCATGAGCATTGGCGATGAGAAATTTTCTTGCTTAGTGGAAAAAGAGTTTTAGCCTCCTTAATATATTCATAACCATGAACTTCAGTTATATCTTTGATGTATTTGCCTTTCTATCAACTTTGGGACCAGGTCTAGCCCTCCCCAAACTTGCTGTAACACCTCTTACTTAATTAATAAAAATCCTTTATATATATGTGTGTGTGTGTGTGTGTGTGTGTGTGTGTGTGTGTGTGTGTGTGATGGATGGCGAGCGTTTTAGAGAGAAGGGAGAGCTTCTCTGATTTTCCGGTTCTTTCTACCGACAATTTACACCTTGCAACGCTGCTGCATCTTCCAGGAGATACCGGCCCATCCAACAGGCGATCTCCTCCATCCCTCCCTTATATCGACGTCCTTAGAGGATTCTCAACAACCGCAGAAGTGATTCCACTGCAATTCTCCTTCCGCCTCTTGCCCAATTGCAAGTTTCCGAAGTCCTAAGACGAGAACCCCCAAAGAGAATCCAATCCACAACCCAGGGCCCGGTAAAATTTCGCATTGAAGGTAAGATTTACACCTTCACCAAATCGATTTTCAATAAGAAAATCTGTGTTAGTGAAATAAGCAGGAAAAAAAGCTTCAACATATGGTTAGGGTTGGACACTTGTGCTTGGCTTCTAGAGGCGCTTCAGTTTCTTACGTGTGAAGGAGGTCTGCGTACATCCTACCAAAGAGAGAAGAGGAGACTGCTCACCATATCTTTTCACTCCTACAGATTTGGTAACCATTTCAAAATCTGTGAGCATCACCAAGACGGCAAGACCTGGGTTCTCATCCCTGAAGGTAATCAAGGTTCTAGGATTATTTCGTTCATCTCCTGCTTTAAGAAAATTTATGACAACTTAAGGTCCTCTATTCCCCATCCCCCTCCTTTTGTTGACAATGCCTTAATTTGTGTCTGGACTCAACCTATTCTTCAACAACCTTCAAACTCCATCTCAGCCACCTTGCTAAAATTGGAATTTTCAGAGAGTCTGTATCCCCCTTTTGGCCCTCCAATTACCCCTGCAAACTCCCCAAAGCTGTCCTCACAAGGGACCCTTTCTGCTTCATCGCTGCCTACAACAGGACACAGGATGTAAATACCCGGCGAAGTGGAGATGTCACAAGTTCAGAAGGCTTTGTTGGATATCCCACCTCTGCGGTAACTAACAAGCAACTAGTTATTTTCCAGACCGAAGCAGCTCCTAATTACAGCCTTTCCACCAGCCAAATCGAAGAGTTTCCACCTTTGCCACGGAAAATCCTTAGTCCTTTTGCTCCCACCTTTGTGCCCGCTGTATACTCCTACGCTGATATTTTCACTAAGGATCAAGGACCCCTTTACAAATCTCAATGGCCAAAGCTTGGTTCTATCCCTCAACGCAGTGGAAGATCACACTAAGGACAGGGAAGGACCCATTCTCTATACCCACTCCGATGGGGAGGATTTAGTTTTCATAGACACAAAGCTCAAACCTTTGCAAATCGACTTCTCAAGATGCTCCAAACATCCCCTCCATCTCCATAAGGAACTAAAGGGAAGAAGGACGTACTCACCATCACAAATTGTTACGAGGAGTAAGGCTAAAATCCTTGAGCAAGGAAGAAAATTTAATCCTATCGGCTGGGTCGAAGAAGAAGACTTGTTAGATCCACAAGAATCACATGAGGACGAGGTTATCAAATTCTTCAAACTTTGTTGTCCTAACAAGATAGAAGATCCTAAACCCCTCTGCAAACCTCTAACCAAAACTCAAAAAAAGAAAATGAAGAAGAAAAAGAAGCAATCTCAATTTTCTGACTATGGTTTCGATGAAGAGATAGAATATGCTTATTGATTGACCTGCAGTAATTTTTATTTCTCTAACCCCTCTCTTGAGTTATCTACCTATTGTTTGTTACTGCCTATTGGTTTCCAAGCCTTTGTTTTGGAGTTGCAGCTTATCCGTTTTAGAGCACTGGTTTTTCATCTCTTCATAAATGCCATTACCTAAGGGTAATTTCACAGCTGCGTTGGGATGCTCCTGCTGGGTAGCAGTTTTCTTCTAAATAATGTGAAATATGAGACCACAGCTGGCGCAGGTCTACCTCTTCCTGGTTTTTTTTCTCCTATGGTTGGACTTTAGCATCATCTAAAATTTGGGAAGTGAACGTAGTTGGTCCTCTGTCCCTTTTTGCTTGGCTTGGAATTCTTCATGGTTTTCCAAGATAGATTATTGGCTGGAATCCATCTTTAAACCTGTATTCAGCATCTTGGGTCTTAATAATTGACCAAGGGTACTTTTGTACGACTGAGAGCTACTCAAAAGGGCTGAAAATTACTGAAAGAGACTATTGCTCGGTCCCTTGGCCTGACACAGCATCATCTTCACATTGCTCTTTTGTTTTATTTCTTTGGTAGTCTTTGGTTTGATATTTAGTTGGTATTTTGTCTGGCCGGTTTGTAGGGGTTGGCCACCCCCCTCTCTTGTATTACTTTTTCATTTCCTATTAATAAAATCTAATTTTCAAATATATATATATATATGTGTGTGTGTGTGTGTGTGTGTGTGTCTATATATACATTTATATGTGTGTGTGTGTGTGTATATATATATAGATGTGTGTGTATATATATATATATATATATATATATATACATCTATATGTGTATATACACATCTATATGTGTGTATATACATCTATATGTGTGTGTGTGTCTATATATATATATATATATATATATATATATATATATATGTATGTATGTATGTATGTATGTATATATATGTACATCTATATGTATATATATATATATATATATATATATATATGTACATATATACATATGTACATATATACATATAATCTAGTCCATTACCTTCCGTTTGATTTGGAAGGTATGTTTCAACCATTTGAAACTCTTCATTTAATTTTAATTCATAAAATCCTTCTCTCTTTTTATCTTGTGTTTTAAAATATTCAGAAGTCTTAGTATTAAGAGTTAAAGGAGTCTGGTTCAATTCCGAAGAGTGAGCATACCATTTGAAACTCTTCATTTAATTTTAATTCATAAACTCTTTCTCTCTCTTTATCTTGTGTTTCAAAAAAATCAGATGTCTTAGTATTAAGAGATAAAGGAGTTACTTGGCCATTTCGTTTGCAAAATAATGGACTTACTATGGGCCCACACATTGATTTATATGAACAGGGCATGCCTAAGTTAGTTGGGAATTGAGTAGCTAACAGTTTATGGACTGTGATTACTATCCCTCTGTCAAAGGGTAGTAAGATAGTTTTCTGCCCTATTAAACTGTTTAGTAACACTCTTAGTCCGTACCTGCAACCCTGATAAGGAATTTCGGCTCAGTACGCGCTCAGCTACTTCCTCTACAGAATTTCCCCGAAGCACGCAAATGAGCCTCCAGCCTTTCAAGCATTTCATGTGTTATATCTAGCACATCCTTATGTGTCAATGATTTCCTGCTATCAACAAGGACTGCTTGTGCAGAAATATTAATCATAATATTTTACGTCCATCAGGTGTTGTGCTAATATGTCATAATGAGGATATGTGACTATGCAAATTTTGAAACTCTACATCCCTTGAAAATGTGCTGCTCGTCAATATGAGCCGAAAACATGTTTTAAAATCATACTATTAATATTTTATAACATAATACAGTGCAATGTCCCTTTGACCGCATTAACAAAATGACACTATTAATATTTTATGATGACTGTTCTAGTGTTTTATAATGGGGGCAATAATCTTTGGAAACTAATGAGGTCAAAGGGCCATTGCACTATATAATGTATTATGCATCATTAAAGGGTTTTGCAAATGATAGTCAGGAACATTTGTTACCCAAACGTGATGGCCTATGAATATCTATTTCTAACATTCACACACATGAAATATTATCAATAATGTATACATATTTTTCAAAACCTTTTCTTTCCCTAGTAAATTTAGTCTCAATCAATAACTTTTTGAGTAATAAACACTCCACCTGCTCACAAAGTCGTTCTCTCCCAAAGTTGTTCCACTGCTCACAAGGTCTACAATTGCATCGACTATCCCCATCTATATTAGGAAGAAATGAGGAAATGATAACAACAACAACAACCTACCCAGTGTTGTCCCATACATTAGGGAACCATGATAGATTAAAAAAAACTTTTACATACTCAAAAGAAATTGAAAGTGTGATTGTATTTGAAGATCACCAAAAGAAATGCTGGAAAAGAACAAATGTGATAAAATTTCAAAGAGCAAACCATAACATCTAAAATAGAACGACATATTTCTTTTATGCAACAAATATAGGAAAAACAAACATGGCTCTCAGGCGAGTCTTAACATCAAGTGCAGTAATCGATTTGTGAAAAAGAGAAGAAGTATTTCATTTATATACGTAGTACAATACAAACAGTCAATCTTAATGAGACTGGACTTAAAGAAAACTCACAGTCAATCTCAATAAGACGGGACTTGAAAAAACTGAATATGTTTAAAATAGGTAAATTTGGTCTTACTGCTGGAGCAGTGCTCCATGTGGAGTTGAAAAGGTAACATGATTTAGTCCTTTTTCATTCATAAACTTGGGCCCCATCTGTGAAAGAAATGAAGGATGTTAAGGGAAAAATATCATCAAACTTAAACATAATAATTGTGACCACAATAATATATACTCTGTATGTGGGAAAAAGAAGATGAATATGTCACATTGCAGTACACCATGCATATGTGAAACCCGTAGCTACTCTCAAGGGTCTCTCAGGTGTCCAATGTGGCATTTCTGCTAGATCCTTCAATGAGTTCACATTGAAAAGGAAAAATGGGGATCAGACGATTTCTTCAAAAGGGTAGGCTACACCCAAACCCATGGTTACCTATGGTAATGGTTGTCTGAGACTGTAGGAATATACAAAAACAATTCTATAATATGCAGTTTGCTCCTCTAATTCACTCTGACAGAAATTGATTGCCTTATTTTTGTGGATTTCATACATATGGATGATTATTGGAACTATAAATTCATATAATTTTTAAAATTATACTAATATTGACTTCCATGGCATAATAAAATACTTTTAAACACAATCAAATTAATTTAAAGAAAAGTTGCCTACTAAAGAACATGTTTGTTAAGCCTTAAAAGCACGACATGATGCTGAATTCATAGCATGATAAAGCTTATTTAAATTCAGGAAGAAGAAAAAATGGCATTGAAACATTTCACATACCTCTAAGTTAGTGCGTCAACCCAATGTGTATGAAAGTTATTTGCTTCCCTTATGAAAACCACAATTAAAAGCACATTTAAAAAATAAAAGATGAACAAAACCTATTCACAATAGTCAATACTTCCTTGTATGACACTAAAACCACATTCAAAACAAAGTTGAGATTAAGGTGATGATGGAAATATTAAATTACACTCTCTAACCCCCTAACTCGGTTGGTTCCCATGACATTGGGAATCAAAGTCATGGAATGACCCAGGTGTGTTCCAGTTCCCCGTTCATAAAATTGATGATTCCTACCTCCTCTGACCCAGTAAACCCTCTCACCCTGCCCCGGCCCGAACACTCCCCCACCCCCTTCAATTGCCCCCCCAAGTTAATTTTGACTTTGAAGGGGGTGGGGGGGTTTACTAGGGGGAGGATTAGGGGGTAAAAATTGTTAATTTTACTAATGGGGAACTGGCCCCTTATATGTAATGTAATAATTTAAGTGATAGATATTGAGCCTAGAGCTCTTTAGCCAGCCTCACAGATAACTCCTATAGATTTAAAAAGCTGGATTATTTTTAAAAAAAATATTTTTTTTATTAAATGATAAGAAAATAGGTTATGGTGCTAACCACGTGAAGCTTGGTAAATTTTTTTATTCAATAAATAAGTTATTACTTCAAAGTTGGGAGCCTACAATTTTGAGAAATGGTTGAATGTTCCAAGTATAAATTCCTCTAATTTTTAAACTTATACTCATACTGACTGCCAGGACAGAATACAATAATTTTTAACACAATATCTTAAAAATCAATTTAAAGGAAAAATGAGTACTGAAGAACACAGCAGCATGATTGCTAAACCCTAATAATATGTGAGTATGCTGATTTACAGCATGGAAAAGCTTAATGAAATTCAGGAAAAGGCTATAAAAATGATATTCAAACATTTCACAGACCTGCAAGCAGATGTACTAATTTAGTGCAATCTCAGCTTCACAGTATGCCAGTCTGGGACAAGGAGCTGCGGTAAGGAGGAAGACATCTGATATAATAACCACATCCATTGCAGATCGCAACAATACTGTACGGGAGAAAAATTTATTACTTTGCATACTTGGGGCAGCTAGCGCAAATTTTGGAGAATCACCTGAAATCTATCCCGGCGGAGATAGAGTGAAATCTCTCCAATTCCAATACACACATACTAGTTTTTTACCCCGTGCTTCGCACGGGCTTGGGTTATGTGCAAGTGTTTGCAATTTTATAATTGTATATTCAGTGAATGAAATATGTATCGTGATTTTTTCTGAAAAATTTAATTTAAAAAGGAAAGATAGAAGAGTTGAGGACTCAACCAAAGCCTTCAAAAAGAGAAGAAAAAGCGGCCTCGACGTAACCAAAGTT